GGGGTCCCCCCGCCCCAACACTTTTTGAGAAAAAAAAGAAGCTATTTCCATTGGGAGACGCGCAGCCCCGGGAGACCGGGTTCCCCAGGGCGGCTTCTGCCGGAGTCTTCCCGCGCGGGGCATGAGCAGGGTTCCCCCCCCCCCCCCCGCGCGGGCTGCCGCACGCCCCGCCGCTGAGCCTGATGACGCAAAGCGCCGGCGCCTCTCTGATGACGTCAAACACCTGCGCCGCCAGCGAGCGGGACGCGCGCGCCGAGGCTTGAGTTCCCTTTTCCCCACGGCTTCCCGCGCCCCGGCGGCATGAAGGAGACGCCGCTTTCCAACTGCGAGCGCCGCTTCCTCCTCCGCGCCATCGAGGAGAGGAAGGTAGGCGGCCGCGCGCGGACCGGCCCCCGCAGGGCCCGGGACCCCTGGGGGATGTGCCCCGTCTCCAGTGGGTCCTTCTCAAGGCTCCGAACTAGGAAACGACCACTTTCCACGCGGGTGGTCAGACCCCCTTCCCTCCGTGGCCCAGCCCCGGGCCGCCCCGAGTGGCTGCTCCCTCCGTGCTGCTCCGGAACTCCCAGCGGTTCTCAACCTGTGGGTCGCGACCCCTCTGGCGGTGGAACGGCCCTTTCACAGGGGTCACCTAAGACCATCCTGCATATCAGATATTTACATGACGATTCATAACAGTAGCAACATTACAGTGATGAAGTAGCAACGAAAATAATTGTATGGTTGGGTCACAACACGAGGAGCTGTATTTAAAGGGCCAGAAGGTTGAGAACCGCTGAACGATGACTGTTGTGCTTTCAGCGGCTGGACGGCAGGCAGACCTACGATTACAGGAGCATCAGGATCTCGTTCGGGACGGATTATGGCTGCTGTGTCGTGGAGCTCGGGAAGACCAGGTAACGGCCTTCGCCTGAGAAGCTCGGGGGCAGGAAGTTCAGAAGAACGTGATGGGCCCGGTGGTTTACCGAGCAGCCGGGAAGTCCGGACCGCGCTCTGCTCAGCTGCCAGAAATCAGTATAGTTCCTTCAGTGCGAGATCTGCTTTTTATTTAGAGTCACACTTACAATTTTTAATCATAACTGTTTTCTGTCACATGGGTACCACATAGTTCTTTTTTTAAAAATATTTTATTAATTTCAGAGAGGAAGGGAGAGAGAGAAAGAGAGAAACATCCATGATGAGAGAGAATCAGGGATCGGCTGCCTCCTGTGCATCCCACACTGGGGATCGAGCCCACAACCCAGGCGTGTGCCCTGGACCGGAATCGAACCTGGGACCCTTCAGTCTGCAGGGCGACGCTCTATCCACTGAGCCACACCGGCCAGGGCATGGGTCTCACATAGTTCTTGATGGCACCGAGTTTGTTTCTTGCCCGTCATGTCAGTAAGTAGGTCCTACTTACCTGTTTTTCCTGAGTGACAGGAGAATTAGGTTTTTGTTTTTTTTATTCTTTTTTCAGGAGTGTTTTTAAAGGTGTGTATTAGTTTGCTAGGGCTGTCATAAAATGCCACTACCTGGGTGGCTTAAATGACAGAAATGTATTGTCCCACGTTGGGGAGGCAACAGTCCGGGGTCCAGGTGACAGCAGGGCTGGTTTCTCCTGAGCCCTTTCCTCTTGGCTGCAAATAAATGCATCCTCCCTGTGTCTTCACCCGGTCTCCTCCGCGTGCCTTCATGGCCCCGGTGAGTCCGAGAATTCGGTTTTTAATATTCGTTTGGAAGTTGTGCGGACATCGGTCAGATAATGTTGGTGAACCGGTGCCATAGGAAAATTCTTTCTTACGAAATCTCAAGTTTTCATGGTATCTTGTATCAATAGATACTTATTTTAGAAAAGAGAAGGTAAGGTCATTGATTTTATTTTTAAGGATCTTTGGAATAATCAGTTTTGTAAATAAGATGTTTTTTTCTTGTCTCTCTTTGGGTACACCAATATGTACTTATTTCCTGTCTATATTCTACTACTACACTTTATATGTAATATAAAGCCTCTAATGATATATCTTGCTGAGTGTCTTATTACTCAGAGTAAGACTGAAACTTAATTAGTCTTTGTTTTAGATTTTTTTTTAATTGGGAAGGAAATGTATTTCTCCAACGGACCTGTACTTTGTCTTTGCAGAGTTCTCGGACAGGTTTCCTGTGAACTTGTGTCTCCAAAACTCAATAGGGCAACAGAAGGTATACTCTTCTTTAACCTTGAGCTCTCTCAGATGGCTGCCCCGGCTTTTGAACCCGGCAGGTATTTAAATCTCCTCCTTAAGCTGCTTTCAGCAGAGACGCGCGCGGCGGCCGGGTATTGTTCCGACGCCCTGTGTCATATTTCATGACATCAGCCCATTCCTGTCTTCATAGGCAGTCAGACCTCTTGGTGAAGTTGAATCGTCTCTTGGAAAGATGTCTAAGAAACTCGAAGTGTATAGACACTGAATCTCTCTGTGTTGTTGCTGGTGAAAAGGTGGGGAGTATGCCCAGAATTCTTGGTCAGGGTGAATATTGTTGAGTCATGGATCCCTGTATCTCTGCATTAATTCTCAGAGTTTCAGTTAACTTATTTTTATACTGGTTCACTTCAGTGCAAATGTGCCTGGGTGCCACCTCTAGAACTTTGTGTCATCTCTTTCTGAAGGGACAAAAAACATTGTAAAAAAAAAAAGCATCTTGAATTTGTGTAAAAATGTCTTATTAATAAGTGTAGGTTCACACGTATCTGCCAAACCTGAGGTATCTCTTGGGAACTTCAGATGCTGTCTGTGGGCACCTGGCCAAAGAACTGGTTTTTCATATATTTTTATTTTAATATATTTTAATTTTTTACAGAGAGGAAGGGAGAGGGATAGAGAGTTAGAAACATTGATCAGCTGCCTCCTGCACACTCCCCACTGGGGATGTGCCCGCAACCAAGGTTCATGCCCTTGACCGGAATCGAACCCGGGACCCTTCAGTCCGCACGCCGACGCTCTATCCACTGAGCCACACCGGTCTGGGCGATGTTTTTCATTTTGGATGAAGAACAGATTCAGTCCTTCGTCTGGACAGGCCGCACAGTGAGTCACTGGCAGGCTGGCATTGGAAATCTTATTGTGGTGCCTGATGGTATTAGAGCTTTAATCTTGATTAGGGCATTTTGACCATCTTTTTTTTTTAAATATATTTTTTATTGATTTTAAAGAGGAAGGGAGAGGGAAAGAGGGAGAAACACCCATGATGAGAGAGAATCATTGATCGGCTGCCTCCTGCATGTCCTTTACTGGGGACCGAGCTGGCAACCTGGGCATGTGCCCTTGTCTGGCATCGTACCCGGGACCCTTCAGTCCTCAGGCCGACGCTCTATCCACTGAGCCAAGCCAGCTAGGGGTTTTGACCATCATTTTCACTTCAGAAAAGCTCCTTAGCCTTTCCACATTCCAAGCTTGAATGTGACACTTACTACTTGCATTACTTGCAGTGTTTTCATAAAAATTATCAAGTAAAACCTAAGAGGGTGAGGTTTTTGATTTAGGAGACACAATAAAGATATAATTAGGCTTGTTAGGGAAATTTTAGTATTAAATGTAGAATGGTTTGTATATTTTGAGCATATATTTTACTGTTGTCAGATGACTCATAGAAGGGTGAACTATTGGTATTTCAGATGTTGGTCTGACTTAACATTTTTCTAAATATAGTTTTATTGATAACAAGAGAAGAAGTAACCCTGTTTGAACAGCAAGAGACAATTTGGCACATAGTGTCACTTTAAATAGCCACTGGTTGTGATCAGTTAGGGTTTATTTTTGTTTTAAATTCACATTCAGGTTTGGCAGATACGTGTGGACCTACATTTATTAAATCATGATGGAAATATTATTGATGCCGCCAGCATTGCTGCCATCGTAGCCTTGTGTCACTTCCGAAGACCCGACGTGTCTGTCCAAGGAGATGAAGTGACACTGGTAAGCGCCCACGACGTGAGCCATGCTCCCCTCTGTGAGTGAACATCCTCAATGTGCAGGCAGCTTGTTGGTCAGGTCTTGCTGTGGATAGAAATTAGGTAGATTCTAAAATTTGTTTGCAAGGCAAAAACTACAAATCATCAAAATTGTCCTTGAAATCTCTTAAATATCCTCCATTAAAGTGTCTGTTAGTAAAAGCACACCGTAGCCTGGCTTTCTAGAATAGAACGAGATGACTTCCTTGCATTGAGCATAGGGGAAGTAGTTCTTTCTCGTTTAGACCATTTGTGTGAAAAATGCACGCGTCTCAGCACAGTGAGATGCTGGTGTTTACTTTGTGGCAAAGTCCATCAGAAATACCTGTAAGGCTTGTTCTGACTTACTGCTCGGCTCCACCCTCAGGAGGATGCGGCCAAACCTAGGATAGTGCACTGCCATCAGCTCCCAGGTGATACTGATGCTGCTGGTGCAAGGACCACGTTTTGAAAACCACTGGTAATATAAAATGGTACAGCCATGATGGAAAAGGTTGGCTGTTTCTTAAAAAGTGAAATGTAAACGTATAGAGCCTCGAAATTCCATGGCTAGAAATCTACTCGAAGGAAAAGAAAGTGTCCATTCACTCAAAGACTTTTATGTGAATGTTCATAGCATATTTGTAATAGCCCAAAACTGGTAACAGTCCAAATGCTTATCACTGGAGAATGGAGAAACAGAATGTGGTCTGTCCGTACCATGGACTACAGTTCAGCAGTAGAAAGCACCAAGCTGCTGATACATACTACAGGATGGGTGAAACATGCTAAGCTGAAAGGAGGCAGATGCGAAACTAAAAATTGTTTGATTCCACTTATAGGGAATGCCCAGAAAAGGCGGATTTATAGACAGAAAGTAGATCGATGGTTGCGTGGGGCTGGGAGTGAGAATTGACTGCAAACAAGCTCAAGGAAGGTTGCGGGGGGAGGGTGGTCATGGAAATGTTAAAAACTGGATTGTGATGATAGTTACATAAATGTAAATGTATTAAAAATGTACTAAAGCGTGAATCCTATCCTTCCGATGAGTGGACTTATGTAAAATATACCTCAATGCAGCTTTTTGACAAATGCATAAAGTTTGAAGGAACATGAGCGACAAAGGCAGATAGGTAATTGTAAAAGGTTATTTAAGGGCTCATTGAGGGTTGAGGGAAGTTCACTTTTTATTTTACTGTTTGATGCACCAGATGATTTCCGTATGTTTGTGACTTATTTCGCACAGTACACTCCGGAAGAGCGGGACCCCGTCCCGCTGAGCATCCACCACATGCCCATCTGCGTCAGCTTCGCCTTCTTCCAGCAGGGGTGAGTCTCCTCCCCGCACGGGCCAGAGTGAGCAGCGCGGCTGGGAGGTGTGCTGTGGGCAAGTGAGCCAGCCCTCCTCATACTACAGCACCTCCCAGCCCAGAAAGAACTGTGCATTTCTCACGTTAGCCCTTTCTTATAAGAGCTGTAGTTGGCAAAGAGCTTTCTCCATAGAAGAGACATTTTTCTTTTCATGGCATATCATAGATTTATGAATTTACTACCACGTGGTAAATGCTTCTGTTTCCTGGAGATGTGCAGGTGCTTAGAGAACTGTATGCTCAGCTCTGATTTGGGGAAGTGGGGGGAGGTTCAGGATTAACGGAAGCAGGACTTGGGGACACGTTCAGTGGCGTCATTCTAGGAGCAGGCATGGGAAATGGTTCTCGCCTGGGGAAGCCGGCTCCTTCGGCTCCCAGTTTCCTCACAGTCTCTGCTGGTTCCTCCCACGGCAGCAAACCTGGGGGCCTGGGGCCATGCCGGTGCCTTACATCTTTGAGAAACAAAGGGAGGTATACATATTTTAACAGTTTCGTGAATGAGAACCAGAGGAAAGCTTTCAGCTTTCAGTCATTGTAGTGTAGAATTTTATAGAGGGAAATGGACCGGCACCTTCAAGCAGAAATACGTGAGTCATGTATGCAATTTAAATTTTCCCAGACATTGAAAAGGTAAAAGAAGTAAATTTAATTTTTATATATTTAATTTTACTTAATATATCTAAGGTATTACCTTATTTTAATACGTAATCATTATCTTAAATTTGTTCATGAAATACATTTTATTTCTACTAAATCTTCGAACTCCAGTGCTGTGCACTTAGCTTGGACTCACCACATTTGAAGGGCTCAGCAAACAAGTGACTGAGGCTACCATTAGACATACAGAAATAGTGTTGTCTAGATGAGCCATTGCCAGAACCTGGAAGACATCGGAGCACAGGCCATTAGGGAGACTCTAAGATTAACCAAATATCAAGTTTTACTCATGAGGCACAAGTTACTTAATCCAGGTGATTGCATTAGATTTTGATTGCATATTATTTAAATAAAAACAATTATGAACTTGATTTTACTGGGATAGCTAGCAATATACACGCAGCATTATTTTGGGTCCATAAAAACAGACATGCTCTTGTATCTTTTCCCATTAAAGTGACTCAGATTCACAGGCGTAACCTTTACTGTGTTGGCTTTATTAATGCCATCTTTAAAAAATATCCATTATCTTAAAATTGACATGATTTGTTCAGGTCCATTTAACATGCCTTTCAGAACATTTTTGTTGGTGGATCCCAGCGAGCGAGAGGAGCGTGTCATGGACGGCTTGCTGGTGATTGCCGTGAACAAGCACCGAGAGATCTGCACCATCCAGTCCAGCGGGGGGATCATGCTGCTGAACGAGCAAGTCAGTGCTGTGGTGAAATCCCCTTTAGAAGCTTTCTCTTATTTATTTGTTTTTTAACTAAAATCCAACAAGGGCATTGCCAGTGGTTCATCCTCAGGTGTGTTGGAATCTGGTTGCAGTACTGTCATCACCTGTTGATGAGACTAGTTACCTTCCCCCTCCCTCTGCGCCCACGTATGGCCTCCAGAGTCTCACCCTCTAGGTAGAGAGACACTGTACTTTCCAGGGAAGAAAGAGGTTCATATTTCTATAAAAAAGTGTCACAAATGGGAATTGGGTTAAAAGTAAAGCACTTTTAGAATGTGGGTATAATAAGCAGTTCTCAAACCCAGCTCCCTATCAGATGCCCATGGGCTTTTAGAAAAGAGATTGCCAGGTACCGTAGGTGCAGGTGCTGGAGCACAGTCTGCTTGGTTGGAGCTCCCGCTCTGCGTTAGACTGGCCGTGGCGAATGATTTCCTGTCTTCATGCCTCCGCTTCTTCATCTGTACAATAGGGAGTAAGTTCCTAGTGACCCCTTATGGGTAGAATATAAAGGTAAGTAGGCGTGTGGCATTGTAGCATAGGGTAAGTGTGCAGTACATGTAAGTTTTCTCATCACTGCATTCCCGGCTCCCTATCTCCAGAGACACATCCATTGGGCCCCGACGCCCGAGAACCTTGCCTTCTGGAAGCTCCAGGGATGCTCTGCGGCCTGGCGTGCTCTGCGGCCTGGTGCCGTGGCTCACTCACAGGCAGGCAGTGCAGCGCGCTTGTGCAGGACGACCTGGCCTCTCCTGGGTCTGTTATTGCCACAGGAATGTTTTTGGGTCTGTTTTCTTGGTGTGAGAGTCCTCCCAATATTCTAAAACGACTCTCACAACTTGCTTTATTTTATGTCTACGTTACATTATTTTTATATTTGGAAACAAAGGCAGGCTTAGGTTGTAAAGTTAGAAAAACTAATCTCGTTCTTGGTTTTCTTAGAGAAAGCTATTTGGTTAGTTGTCTTTAAATAACAGCTCGTTTTTACGAACAGGTTTTGAGATGCAGTAAAATAGCTGGTGTGAAAGTAGCGGAAATCACAGAGCTGATCCAGAAGGCTTTGGAGAATGACCAGAAAGTTCGGTAAGTTTAATTTTGTTAGGACCAAGTGGTCTTTTCATAGATTTTTCTGTTAAGGATTCTTCTTGCACAGGGGTAACCACACACTTTCCTTATCTGTTAATCTCAGTTGAATATACTAAATGTTTTTTGAAAGTTGATTGAACTGTTTGTTGTATTGTATTCTAGCTTAAACAATCTGTATTGAAAAGCCATGTAATATTTTTCTTTAAAGAAATTAACATGTTCTTAGGAAAAAGAACCTGGTAACGCAAATTAACTGAAAGGACACACACTGGTTGGTTCCCATCTTCTCCCCATGTGACATTACGCAGGACCTGTAGCCAGCGTCAGTGTCTTCTACAACGCAGGAGGTTAATGCCGGCCTGTATGCCGGTTTGAGGATTAGAAAAGAACTTACTTTAAGCCCTTGGCAAGTGCCCAGCACATGGTTCAATACATGGTAATTACAGGAACTTGTATTATGTCTCTTGATAGGCATAATAAATTGTGAGGTTAAGTTACTCAAATAACTTCCAGTATTTCTCACCAAAGGGTAAAATAGTTCACTTGTTTTCCTTTTTTGTCTTCTCGTCCATCTATCATCCACCCCCATCTCTTTCCTCCCCCCCAAATACCACACACAGGAAAGAAGGTGGAAAGTTTGGCTTTGCAGAGTCCATAGCAAAACAAAGGATCACAGCATTTAGAATGGAAAAGGCCCCTGTTGACACCTCTGACGTCGAGGAGAAAGCAGAAGAAGTCCTTGCTGCAGCGGATCCTCCTCCAGACGTGTATCCTTCCTGGGTGCTGGGGTTTGCTTTTCCAGTAGCAACAAGATTCATTCCACTGTGGCCTTCTTAGGCTGTGGAAGGGGTACATACTGACATTTCACTGAAACACTGTACTTTGTTAAAAAACATTTAAGATACCAGATAGTGAAGAGTCAATAAGTTGATGGTCTAAGGTCCACCTTCTCTTCAGCTATCCTACAAAATCCAGAAAATTCTAACGAACCAATTCATAGCATTTCATTTTCTTTTGAAAAATTAGTCTTTATTCTCAATGGCATGGTCAAGCACTCTACACTATTACACATTGTTCTTGAATTTTTTCTACATTCACCAAACTTATTAGTATACAACTAACATGTTCAGAGCCAGTCTCTTGATGTTTCTCACCATTATGTCCATAACAATCTTGAGTTATGTTTTTTCTTCATTGTTCAGCCACCCATAGTATAGCTACTAGTAAATTTCTTCTCCTGAGACTTTGAGGCACACTTCTGTCTTAAGAAGAAAACTTCCTTTAACTGTTAAGCGTTTCTAAACCTGTGCTCTGGACTCCTGGTACTGCCCAGATTGGAGAAGGAGTGGAGAACTCCTGGGGTGACCTTGAAGACTCTGAGAAGGAAGATGAGGATGAAGGTGGCAGCGATGAAGCCATCATTCTCGATGGTGTGAGGACGGACGTGGGAATGGAAGTCTCCAATACTGGAAGCCAAGGTGGGTGGTACTTTATGGTAGACTAGAGGCCCGGTGCACGAAAATCGTGCAAGAGTAGGCCTTCCTTCCCCTGGCTGCTGGCACCGGCTTTGCTCCGGTTGCCAGCAGGCATCCGGGACCCAGGTTTCCCTGTGACCCTGGCATTGTCCAGAATGATGTCGGGTCTAATTAGCATATTACCCTTTTACTATAGATATTATGTAGACATGTAAATTATATATGTAGTCATATGTGAATAGAATCTGTCCCTATTTACAGATTAAAGTACCACTAAGATAGGGATTTATTTTTATATAAGCAGTTCCTGTTTTTAGAGGAACTGAATTTCAACTAAACTGTTGAAGCTAACTGCATTAACTCCAATTCTTTTCTAAAAGAATATGTTTGTGGAGTAGTGGTAGCTCTTTGGTATGTAAATGTAGTTGTATTTTTAATGTTTTGTTCTCTTTTCTTTTATGTGTACCTATCTGGGCCAGTTTTAAGGAGGTTTCTTAAAGATCTTATTCCTGCATGCTAATTTTTCTTTGTAGTTTTTAGAGTGAAACATAAAGCCTACAACGTAAGAGTGCATTCAGATAGAACTTTTTATTTTTTTTTATTTTTCGCTAAAAGTATTACAAAGGGTATTACATAAGTGTCCTTTTTCCCCCCCCACCCTTGACAAGCCCCTGCCCTCCCTTACCCCCCAGTGTCTTATGTCCATTAGTTATGGTTATAGGGATGCATACAAGTCCTTCGGTTGATCTCTTACTCCCCTCCCTCCTGTCCCCCAACCCTCCCTGGCCTTCCCACTGCAGTCCGACAATCAGTTTGAGGCAGCTCTGCCACTGTATTTATTATTGTTCAAAAGTTTGTAATGGTCTTAATTATCTATGAAAGAGTGAGATCATGTGGTATTTTTCCTTCATTGACTGGCTTGTTTCACTTAGCATAATGCTCTCCAGTTCCATCCATGCTGTTGCAAATGGTAAGAGGCAGCTCATTGATGTTTCTCTCTATCCCTCTCCCTTCCTCTCTGTGAAAAAATCAATAAAATATATATTTTTTAAAAACAAACCAACTTCATGCTTGGCCCACACTAGAAAATAAACATGAGTTGTTTATGTAGTAAAAACAAATCATATGAGGAAGAATCTAGGCATTAGGTGGGCAGGGAACTAAAGGATGCACTTATGGCGCCTGTGATGCACAGGCCGGCCTGCCTTTCAGGAATTTAGTGCCTGTGAGCATGACTGAGCTTGCTGGGGTTTTGTAGAAAAAACATTCCCATTGATTGAGACCTTTATTCACTGTCCCAGGGGTCACTCTGTTTGGCATCACTCTTCCAGAGCTTGGTCCAGATATTTACTACTAGAGGCCCGGTGCACAAAAATCGTGCACTTGGGGAGGGTCCCTCAGTCTGGCCTGTGCCCTCTTGCAGTCTGGGAGTCCTCGGGGGATATCCAGCTGATGGCCTAGGCCAGCCGTGGGCAAACTACGGCCCGTTTGAAATGAATAAAACTAAAAAAAAAAAAAAAAAGACCGTACCCTTTTATGTAATGATGTTTACTTTGAATTTGTATTAGTTCACACAAACACTCCATCCATGCTTTTGTTCCGGCCCTCCGGTCCAGTTTAAGAACCCATTGTGGCCCTCGAGTCAAAAAGTTTGCCCACCCCTGGCCTAGGCCCACTCCCTAAGCCGGCAGTTGGACATCTTTAGTGCTGCTGCCGAGGAGGGAGGCTCCTGCCACCGCTGCTGCGCTTGCCAGCCGTGAACCTGACTTCTGGCTGAGAGGCACTCCTCATGTGTTGAGCATCTGCCCCCTGGTGGTTAGTGCACATCATAGCGACTGGTTGTTCTGCCATTCGGTCAATTTGCATATTAACCTTTTATTATATAGGATATAATTTCAGCATATAAACTGCTTCCACAGAGAGACCATAAGTGAAGCTTTCGACTCCATATAATTACATATACATCAGCCAGTCTTTAATGCTGCATAGACTTCTATAGTGTTGAATGTTACTAGTTGGTTTAGTTATTCCCTTATTGATATACTGTTTCAGTGCAACAGTGAGCATCCTTTCTCACTGGGATAATCCCTTTATATATTTGTGAACTCTTTTTCTAAGATTAATAAGACTAACTGCTAAAATATTCAATTGCTAGCTTCAAGAGTAGTATTTTCAACTGAATGATAAAGGTGGACCTAAGACAGTTTGGAGGACAGAGCGGGTAAAGCCTTTTGAAAGCATGTAAACAAAGTGAGAAACTGAAAACTCAAAACATAAAGACCTGATATACCAACAACCAACTGGGAAAAGGGATAATTCACATTATATATCATTAATGAAGGCTCAGAAGAAACTACAAAGTAATTCTCACATATAAATGGCCAGTTACATATGCCAACCCTGGTAGTAATGAAGGAAATGAATTCAAAGCAAAAGGATGAGAGCACTTTTGGACTACTGTATTGGGCAATATTAAAAATACCAGCATTGGCAAGGTTGTATGGGAAAGTGGGTTCTTCATAGACTATTTCTTGGAATGTAAATTGGAACAATATTTATGGAGGGGTTTGGCAGTATTTTTTGGGATGTATATATACCTTTTGGCCCAACTATGTTTCTAGGTATTTCCTTTAGTGTTTATAATAGGGAGAAATGAAAAATTTAGATGTCTAAAATTAGCAAATTCTGAGATAAATTGTGGTTCCTTATAGAGTGGCTTGTTTCCAAATTGGTTCTACAAGATGATACACACACACACACACATCTATAGATACAGATTTCCCCTAACTTTTCTATTATGAATGTACTGAATGGTGACGTCATTAAACACATGTTTGGGGAATCAAGCACAAAGAAGTTACCTGAGGGAAGGAAAGAACCAAGTAGGCCTGGCAGCCCGCACCCAGAGTAGCCCAGGCTCTAGTTGTATGGAAGTTTCAGAATTGCTGCTATGGAAACCAATTTGGAAACTTTTAAAGAGATTACAGGCCCACCTCAGAGATACTGAGGGTTTGCTTCCAGACCTTCACAATACAGCGAGTTACTAATTTGTTTTTTGTTAAATAAATAATGTACATACCTTAATTTAAAAACAACTTATTGCTCAGAAATGCTAACCATCATCTGTGCCTGTACTCACATTGCTTCCTGAACACTTTCTTAAAGAGGCCCCTATTGTGCTGTCAGACAGTGAAGAAGAAGAAACAATCATTTTAGAACCAGACAAGAATCCGAAGAAAACAAGGTAACAGTTTCTGGCTTGTTTTTTTTTTTCTCTACTGTAAACAAAGAGATGTCTCTTTCTCATTAGAAATCTAGCTGTTCTTTGGTTTCTTAACCTGAAGCCTATAAATGTTAGGACGTAATTCTATAGAATTGTTGGATGCCTTTCAGAGCCACTATTTTACTGTCAGAGTTGGCAAGTGTTACATCCTACTGGGAAAAGGGCAGGCCTCCTGTTTTTGTGCAGTGGGATGAATCAACTTCTAGTCCTAGTGCTATTTGTAAACTCTTAATTTACTTTATTCACAGAACACAGACCATCAGTGCAAAACAAGAAAAAGCACCAAGTACAACACCAGTGAAAAAGAGAAGGAAGAAGAGAACTGCAAATTAAAGCTCATGTGGTTGTATCTGTGTACAGAACCATTAAAAGGATATTTATTTAAGTGCTAGCAACCTGGAACGTTTTTTATTCACAAATCCATTATAAAATCTAGTCACTTCCTTCGTTTTTACATTATGCTCTTGACAAACCTTCTGGAAAACTTAGCAGGTTCTAAGTAACTGCCACTTCAGCCGTGTCCACGGAGTGTCCAGGGGAGTGTCCAGGTGAGCGAGGAGTGGAGGGCCTTCCCTGGCGTGCACCGAGGACCACGGCTGGTCAGCAAGCAGATCCACTCCCAACACCTGGGTTACGCGTGCCAGCAACTGGTTGGATGCTCAGGAAAGTGAATGTCAGAACTACTGTCTGTTTTCCCGAAACTATCAGGTAGTTGAAGTCTTTTAACTTTTAGGAGAACCCTTTAGTCCCCACAGGAGAAATCAACTTTTCAGTGAAACCCTGAAGTCACATTTTTACCTCAAATTAAAATTGACTTACAAACTAAGTTTTCCAGATCAATTTATTAATTCTTATTCTTATTATCCTGACAGCTGGCATCATTAATACTTTAACAAAACCACTCATCATCAGCCACATATCTAAGATACGCTAGTACATGTACAAAAGATATACAAATTAAAACCATTAAAAAGGAATAGAGACCATAATTTGTACTTGACCATAACTTCTGTATTCAGAAATGATTGTAAAATTAAAACTTTAAAAACTGTACACCATATACGTTGACTGAACTCTTATAAAACAAAGTCAGTCTTTCACTGTTACACATGTAGTGTCTCTGGTGGGATGAGGAGAGAAACACCATGATACCTGTAAGCAGGAAAAAAATCCACTTTTAGTGAACGTTCACTGAGTGAAGGAATATACCAGGAACTATAAAATGCTACTTCTACCCGAGTAAGCAAATGATTACAAAACACATACACGCATGCCCCTTCCCTCTTCTCCCTCAAATACAGGACAGACACAGCCCCTAAGGAGGCTGTGCCCAATTTGAGGACCCTTTCATAAAGGTCAAATGTCATGGGTCTCGGAACCATACGACGCCCTGGGAAAGCCAGCTCCTTTAAATCCTGTCCCCCCAGCCGGTTCGGCTCAGTGGATAGAGCGTTGGCCTGCTCGGAAGGGTCACGAGTTCATTCCAGTTAAGCACATGCGCCTCAGTAAGAGGCTCAGTCCTGGCCCACGTGGAGGCAACCAGTCAATGTGTCTCAGTGTTTCTCTCCATCTCTCCCCCTCCCTTGACTCTAAAAACCATGGAAAAAATGTCCTCTGGTGACGATTAACAAGGCTTGGCTCAGTGGATAGAGTGTCGGCCTATGGACTGAAGGGTCCTGGGCTCCATTCTGGTCAAGGGCACCTGCCTGGATTGCAGGCTCAATCCCCAGTCGGGGGTGTGCCGCAGGCGGCCGATCAATGATTCTCATCATTGATGTTTCTTTCTCTCCCTATCCCTTTCTGAAATCAATAAAAATATACGAGAAAAAAAATTTGAATGTCACGTCTTACTTGGAATGCTTGTACTTCTCTCGGATGGACTGCTGCGCGTGCTGCGGCGCTCTGAGGTAGGTCTGGTGCAGGTCCAGGAGACAGGGCTTCAGACTCTCCAGGGTGTAGCCCGTCTTCTGTGCCAAGGATTCAGGCTGCAGAGGGAGCGGAACACCGCGGAGTTGATTTCAGGAGCAACACAAGTTAACAGTTGGCACTGAGCTGGAGTTCAGCAGTTTCAGTACTAACAGCACCTGACAGGTCTACCAATGTTCGAAGCCGGCATTGCAACGCTTTTATGCTGACTTGGATCGAGTTTGAGTACTTTCCCTGCAGCAGGTTGGGAGGCAATGCTTTCAGCACACCTTTGAAATCCAAGCAACAACACAGCTTTCTACCTCACAAACACGCCTAAACGTGATCAGTTTCCCAGGTCAGTCAGTTAACGGCAAGAGCGGTTAAGACCCACGGTAGGTGTGTGACCATGTGATACATACCCAGCTTTGTCCTGTGACTGTGTAGAGTGCGAGATGAAAGGCCGCTCCGGCAATCACTGATGGCAAATACTTAAGGTAGGGGTCAGCATCTATCAAACTTAACTCTCCCAGAAACTGGAATGAAAAGTAATACGTTTTATAGTCAGAAGAGCTCTAGAATTCAAACCTCACATCTCTGCCTTCTGACCTATTTCCCCCTCAACACTGGTTGTAGAGCAACCACAGGGAAAAAGATTCCCATCGCCTCGTCTTTTAGATACATTCACTATCTTGTATTTTCCATTCTCGTCCTCTTTCCTCTGAATAACTTTTTAAAATCCCCACCCAAATAAAATATACTATATATTTTAGAGAGGAAGGGAGAGAGAGAAACATCCATCAGTTGTAAGTATGTGCCCTGGCTGGGAATTGAACCCCCAACCTGTTGGTGTTTTGGTGTATGGGACGAGATCCAAGCACCTGAGACACCCAGCCAGAGCACTTTTAATAACTTAAAAATAACCTGGCTACCATTTCCCAAGACTTTATTTCTATGATCTTTTGCCAATGGGAGTCTTTCTTCCATACTGCAGCATGAATCTGTCCCTGGAATATTAAATCCCTTGACCAGAGCTGCATAATAAAACCAGGGCTTGTCCCTAATTGTGACCTAACAATCTTGCATCAACAAAATGAACTTACCATCGCTAAACTTTCAACCTTGCAGTTGGAAGGCTGCTGGTGCAGGAAGTACTGGGTGAGGAACTGATTGACAGTTGGTGCAGCTAAGTCAAAAGAAAGGACTTTCAGAACGAGGTGCTCCATTCGCAGAACTTGTTTCTTGGTGTAGGTATCATCTGTAATGTACACAAACTCTGCTACCTCTGGGGGGTATATTTCTTCAAACTTTCTGCAAGGAAAAAAGTTTTAAGTAAATCAGTCCTAAAAGAGAAGCAAGCATGAATATCCCAATTCTGAAATCCCTCTAGCACAGTGGTTCTCAACCTTCCTAATGCTGCAACCCTTTAATACAGTTCCTCATGTTGTGGTGACCCCCAATGTCATTGTTACAAATTGAACATAATTAAAGCATAGTGATTCATCACAAAAACAATATGTAATTATATATGTGTTTTCCGATGGTCTTAGGCGACCCCTGTGAAAGGGTCGTTCGACCCCCAAAGGGGTCATGACCCACAGGGTGAGAACCGCTGCTCTAGCAGATCACACAGAACGAATCCAATTGCCTGTTTCTGAGGAGACTGGGTAAATGCTAATTAGAAGACCCAGATCAATGAATGACTTTTAAGATCTTTCTCCCAGTGCAGTCAAAGGAAATAAATGAGAAGCATGCGACTTCCCAAGACAGGAACAATGCTCAAGGACACCAGGTAACTGAACATTTAGGAAATTTCCTTAGAAAAATAAACATTTTATCTTCTGGTTTTAAAATTTAGCTTTCATGTCTTAATGAGATTTTGCTCATATGCTGGAAAGCACTTTTGAAGGGAAGGGACCACACTTTAAAACTTTGTAATCTGGTATTCAAATGTAGCCAGTCTACAAGTTCATTCAACAAGGTACCCTGGGACCCAGATCTGGAAAAGTAATGTCCTAAATTAGGCAAGTCTCACCCACACCTGTCACCACGGAGGTAGTCACCGACTCTCTGCCTTGTGTGATGTTGTCACTGTTAAAATCATGTTCTACACAGAAAGGTACCGAACGAGCCAGGCTGACTTACGAGGCCAACAGCATCGCCGCGGTGCCCACCAGCTGAAGTTTCCCTCTCAGCACCGACATGGAGGAAAGGAACCTGTCGATGTAGTTCACAGCCAAGTGCAGGGTCTCATTCTGCAGCTTATACTCTTCTCCTACTTCCACGAGCCAGTCCACGAGGATGGCCCTCATGCTGTTGTTGATGTCCGGCTGCTTCTTCATGTAGCCCGCTTTGGGCTTACATTTAATCTGTGGAGAAAGTCACTTAGCACAGTGTGAATGCAGCTGGGTTACTCTATGTTAGCAAAGCAGCTAGAATAGATGCTAGAAGCCCAAGTACAGCACTGGAGTACCGCACGGGCAGTTAAAAACGCTCGCAAACGCCCTCAACGCCGTTTCGCCCACCGAGTAAACAGGACAGAAAGTGGGTCCCGGGCGCCTGTACCTCCATCTCCCTGAGGTATGTGTGAATGTCCTCGTGGTAGTCTGGGACTTCAGTAACGCTCACTGGCTTTTCCTCTTCCAACACAATTGACATGTCCATAGCGTGTGGTGACTCTGGGAGAATTCAAAAGTACAATTAAGTTCCTCGTTCAATTTTCTTTTTTCTTTTGTTATATTTTCATTTATTTCAGAGAGGAAGGGAGAGGGAGAGAGAGATTGAAACATCAATGATGAGAGAGAATAATTGATTGGCTGCCTCCTGCACGCCCCCACCGGAGATTGAGCCTACAACTGGAGCATGTGTCTGACCAGAATCGAACCTGGACCCTTTAGTCCACAGGCTGATGTTCTATCCACTGAACCAAACTGGCTAGGGCCCTCGTTTAATTTTCTATTTAATTGCCAAAAGTGATTGCCCTTATAGGCGTCCCATACTACCAAAGCAATTATTTCACCGATGACAAAGTATACAGCCTACTTCACTCTGGTTTTAGTACCTGTCCACTTAGCTTTAGAATGAATTTACTTAACAAGAAAAAATACTGATAGACCAATCACAGGAAAATAAGTATGAGGACCAGGTATTATGTTAGAGTATCACTCATCTTCGAGAGACAGTGGCTCGGTGGTTCTATTAGGACAGGATTAAAACCCAAGTTCTAAGATGACACACAGGATTTGCTCTAAGAATCTGCACACCCCCAAGTCTGATGTATTCGAAGCACAATCTAGGCAATTGCTAGAAGCAGGGCCAACACTGCGTTCAACAAGTGATTCATCTTTTGCAATTTTAAATTATCTTTTGAAGCAAAAAATATCATCCATTATTGTTTTCACTTCAAGGTTCACTGTGAGGTTAAAATTTATTGCAAATTTTAGATAAAAACATAATTTTTTTTCTTAAAATTCTTTTTATTGATTTCAGAGAGGAAGGGAGAGGGAGAGAGATAGAAACATCAATGATGAGAGAGAATCGTTGATCGGCTGCCTCCTACATGCCCCCCACTGGGGATCAAGCCTGCAACCCTGGCATGTGTCCTGACCAGGAATTGAACCTGGGACCCTTCAATCTGGAGGTCAATGCTCTATTCATTGAGCCAAACCGGCTAGGGCCACATAAATTATTTTAATTCCAAAGGACTTTCCTGACCATCTCTCACCAGCAGAACTAAAAGTGAAACGAGTTTGCCCAAACGGTTAGGGCCTAACCGGTTTGGCTCAGTGGATAGAGCGTCGGCTTGAAGGGTTCCAGGTTCGATTCCAGTCAAGGGCATGTACCTTGGTTGCGGGCACATCCCCAGTAGGGGGTGTGCAGGAGGCAGCTGATCGATGTTTCTCTTTCATTGATGTTTCTAACTCTCTATCCCTCTCCCTTCCTCTCTGTAAAAAAATCAATAAAATATATTTTTTAAAAAAAAGTGAAATGAGTTTGGATTTAGTGAGCTGTCCAGTGACTCAACAGCCCCACTGCACAGAAGCAGCCCACTGTGGGCACAGCTGCCCAGATCTGCTCCTCTCCTTACAGGGGTTACGTACAAATACCTCTGGCTCGACCGACTCACAGGACAGCGTTCCTCTCTGCTGTCAGAGGATGGCTCAGCCTGGTCTCACAGAAACATTTTAAAGCCGGAAGAGCTGTTAGATATCAGGGCAGGTCAAGCTAAACGCTCACACAGCCCTCTCTGGAGTGGAAGGCACCAAGGGAGTCTTTGGAATGAACAGAACTGAAATCTATTCTCCCAACCCTGGGAGCATCTCCAGGGTCCGATGAAAACCAGGGTTGGAGATCTAGTTAAACTGCGGAGACTGGCAGTGCACGGAAAGGAGCACCCAGTTTGGATCTGGGTCTCTTCCACCGGGTCATGTATGAGCTGTGAGGTCTGAGATAAGTCACGCCCTTTCTAAACCCGTGACATTAAACCTAAGTCATTGTGTAGTAAGGATGAGATGAGATAACGCCTTACCATGCAAAACAGCATGAACCCAACCTACTTAGCAATTATGATCACACTGATTTGATCCGGATGTTCGTTAAAACTTACCCAGACTATCTTCCATTGGATAATCAAGAGGTACCAGCGGTTTTCTGGGTTCCGGTAAAGCGATAGCTGAATTGAAGGCCAGCACATCTTCGCACTCTGTTTCTTGAGATTCGTCTGGGCTCCTCTGAGTCTCCTCCGGCTCATCCACGTGGATGGTGAAGGCAGGCTGCTTGCTGTTTGCCTTCCAGGGAGGGACAATGGCGCGCTCATCATTGACAGGAAGATCCTTCAGAGGAGCAGCCTAAGAGAAACCAGAGATGGGCTGTGAGCTTATCAAAGGGAGGCTGGCTCGACTCCATCAGGAAAACACACTTCCTGGGCCAAAATCCAGGCGAGGAAGTGGGGGTAGTCAAGGAAAAGAAGGCAAAATCCAGGCGAGGAAGTGGGCGTATACAAAGGTCAGAGAGAGTCATACTGAGCGGAAATATGAAAAACCAGTCCGGGCCACAAGAGGGACGGAGGGCCCAGAAGATGACAAGCTTAGGAAAGAGACGGCAAAAACATGGTGCACCACATGACAAGCTTAGGAAAGAGACGGCAAAAACATGGTGCACCACGTTCACCCGGGGTGGAGCAACCGAGCTAATCCGGGAAAATGGCGGAATTTACCAAAAAACAAAGTATTTTTATATCCTTTCCTGAAGTAGAGGTGACCTCCTAACGTCCCTCTATTGGGGGGGGGGGGGGGGGGGAGGTCCTAGGGTTTAAAAGCTAAGAGTGAGGCGTGGTGGCGGGCAAAGCCCACACATGCGGCAGGGCTTGGTTTGACCCCATTATCTGCAGAAAAACAACCGGACAGAGAGCAGAGCAGACGAGCAGCACACACAGTGCGGCCGGAGGGCAATGGAGAACCTCCCCGTGGCATCCCAACTCGCCAGAAGCCAGGGATCCGGGGCCGCCGACCAGACCTCCCCCAAGCCCAGCGAGCCCCTAAAGCCCAGCGCGCTCCCCCAAAGGCCAGCTCGCTCCCTCAAGCCCAGCGAGCCCTCCAAGCTCAGCGCGCCCCCCCAAGCCCAGCGAGCCCCCAAAGCTCAGCGCGCCCCCCCAAGTCCAGCGAGCCCCCGAAGCCCAGCGCGCTCCCCAAAGCCCAGCGAGCCCCCCAAGCCCAGCCAGCCCCCCAAGCCCAGCGCGCTCCCCCAAAGGCCAGCTCGCTCCCCAAGCCCAGCGCGCTCCCCCAAAGGCCAGTTCGCTCCCCCAAGCCCAGCGCGCCCTCTCGCCCCTCTCCCCGCCCAGCCCCGAGCAGAACCACGCTCGTCTTTACCCGCCGCGTCTTGGGCCTCTGCGGCGGCGCCGGGGCCCGCTGGTTCCCGGCCTTGAGGACCGCCAGCCGGGCCCGGGTGCGGGGCTGCTGGGCGGGAGACGCCTTCTCGGGGTTGATGTTCTCCTGGTCCTCGTGGGGCGCCGTCTGCTGCAAGGTGAGCGGCGCCGAGCCCGCCTCGCGGGCCGCAGAGGAGCCCAACATCCCTGCTCCGAGGCCGCGGCGGGTCCGCCGGCGGCGCCAAGCAGCGTGCACTCGCTCCCGCCGACCGGCCGCGCCGAGGACGCTCCCGCCGTGGGCGCCCGCCGCAGCCCGGCCCGCCCGCCCGCCGCCCGCCCGGGATCGCCGAGAGCCGAGAGGCTGCGAAAGCGCAGGCACGGCCGGGGTGCAGGGCCAGGGACCCCCGAGACCAAGGAGCTACCCGCGGAGCGACGGCTGTTCGAGCAGTTCAAGTAGCCCGCGACTATTGAAATGGGCCAATGGCAAGGCCCGCAGCCGTGACGTCAGCAGGGCGACCGG